CTAGAATGATTAACATTAACTATTAAAGCTATTAATGACTATTAAAACTATTTAAAATAATAAATGTAAAATAATATTAACTATATAATAGAATTAATTACCAGGTTGCCATTGGTAAGGTATATTCCACACATCTTGCAGACAATGGAATTAACAATAAATATAGGGTGTCTTGTTAAATAAAGCAAATGTATAAAACCAAATAAAGAGCAAACAAAGTAAGGTTTTATGCACAGGAGTCATCTTGCCCCAGTGCAGCACTGTATTTCTTCAAACGCTATGTTCTGAACTCATTTTCTATTTGTAGCCCTAACTCATATTTTGATTTCAATATTTCGCTTTCCAGTTTCATTTCAGATCCTTACTGCGTTTGGAGGGGTTTTATTACTCCCTTTGGTAACGGCAGGACCAAGCTCTGGCCTTGGCTAGCAGCCAGTTACCGTGAAGAAGCTGAGCGCATTCAGTTTTAATTACTCCTCTCCAAATGGGCTTACTGTCAATGGCCTATTGATACAAAGAATCCTTAAGAAGCGCTACCAGACACCTAATGACCAGGTGAAGCAGGCACTTTTCTTGAATTTCTTCTTTCACAGGCAGGGTCTCTACAGAGGTGACATTCTGACATCAGATCAAATGAATAAACATTGATTTTCTTCTTCATTATACTCAGTCCTAACTCCCGTTCAACTGACATACATTCAATAGTAATAAAAAAATAATCATAACCACAAAACTCAAATCTGTCAATGTACCCATGAGAGAAAATTACAATGGCAGACCGCTCATCTTGGTGTACATATGTCTCTCTGATATGGCCTAGCACAGACTCTGGCTAATATTCTGCAATTTAGAAATCACTCTGCACCTAGAAATCTTTTTAATCACGGAATTCACGATGCGCCTGTAATCACTCCTTGTGAAATTGCTTAAACGTTACATATACTGCCATACAGATTTCTTTCTCCCTCTCTGCTGTTGCACATCAGTCCTGTTATCAGTAGCACTGTTATGAACGTATACAGAAAATGAGTTATTCGGGAATATTTAAAAATGTTTATCAGTGGCACATGCTGCTATACATTCTATTGTGCACCTCAGACTTATTTTGAGGGCTGTTTCCTGCTTTGCTAAGAGTGAAAGCACACGTACTTCGCTCCTCATTTGCTTAGACGGTAGCAGCCGAGCACAGAGCACGCAGCGTCCCACCACAGCATCATTTGGAAGGGCTCACGGACACACACACGTCCGTCCCGGAGGTTGAGCAGCCGGGACAGGTAGCTCGTTGCCTACGCGCGCTTTCGCGCTACGGCGCCTCCCGCCCCAGGCCCGGTGCACCCGGCGGCTCCCGCCACCCGCTTCGCTCACGGTGTTCACCCCCCGCACTGCGTATGCTCTAGAAGACGCCGATCTCCCCTCCGAGGGCCAAAATATGTTGCGGCGCCAGAGCCGGCAAAGGTGCATGGGATCGGGCTGCCCGTGAAAACGTGCCGGGATTCCCCCCAGGGCCGGTGTATATAACCCCCACACCCTGGGGGCAGGCGCGCAGGTGAAGTCTCGGGGTCCGGACCGCCGGCCTCTCTCAGTCCCCGCACCACAAGCCGGGTCTTGCCGGGAGATCCCGGCTAGTTCCTCCCCGCTCCTCCCTCCCCAGGCAAAGGCTCTGCCGTGCCGTGCCGTGCCGTGTCGTCCCTCCTCCCGTCGGGACCCGCTGCTCATCTCATCTCACCTTGGCTCGGCTCGGCTCTGCTCCACTCGGCGCCCCGCGCTGGAAGCTACCACCGCCGCCCTGCGGGCACACAGACCGGCGTCAGGAGAGAGGGGTTCCCGCGCCCCCCGGCCCGGCCGCTCCGCGCCGGCCACTCACCGCGGCGTCACTCGCAGACTGCCCCTATTGTCCGCCCGCCCCGACCCGCTCCGCTCCGCCCCGCCGGGGAAACCCGCCACCCCCGCGGGGCCGGACCCGCTGCCGGCCGCTGCCGACGGATGAGGAGGGCCTCGGAGGCAGCGGGGCCGCGCCGGCGCCGCCGGGCGCGTCTGCGGCGGCGGGGTTGGGGGCGCCGAGGTGGAGGCCCCTCGGGGGGACAACAGTCACCGTAGTGCGGTGGCCCCTCATCGGTGACGGGAGATGATGGGAAATGATCTTCGTGCTCTCACCGGTGGAGATGCCAAGTGCAGGACCAGGCCCTACCGTCCCCTTTTGCCCATGGACCCCTTTTCCAACTGGCTGGCTGTAGGTGGGCCCGTGTCGTTTTTTCAGCACCTCAGCGTACTGGAGCCCACCCTCGTTGTGGGCTTCGGGGTAGTTTTGGTTTCAGCGGCGAGATCTGTGCTGCTCAGGAATCCCTTTGGGCTTCAATACATCATAATTTGAAGATAGTCTTTAAAATGTTGGGAATGCTGTGGTACTGTTCACTTTTAAACAGGGAGGAGCAGGTTTTCCTCTTCATTCAGTGTAGCAGAAGCAACTGCGATGAGCAGGCATCCGCAACGGTCCCCAGGGAGCTTGGGGAGGAGAGGGGGGGACAGAAAGCAGGAGGAGCCATGGCAGTGCAGCCAGAGCAGAGTTCCTGAGGGGTTAAAGAGAGAGACCTTTTTTGAGACTTACTCAAATCCTACTGACCTCATGCCAAAAAAAGTTTGGAGAGGTCAGGGGACTTCAAGTGTTTTTCTTTTTCGCTATTGATAACAGTGCTGTGAGCGATTCAGTTGGTATCTATCACCCGCATCCCTAGAAGAGCTTTAAAGAACCCAAACCCCCTGTTGCTCCACACTTTATTGTCATGTCAAACAGGAGACATCACTGGTTAATGCTTCAGAGTGGACTTTGCCCTCTATTTATAGTATGATCTCATGTCAGTATGAGGGAAGGTAAACACCAGGAGGAGCAGAATGGTGGCATACAGCACTCCACTGAAGCTGCGATATCCACACACTTTTGTAGCTAAGTTTCTAAATGGAGAAAAGTGTGTGTGTGTACATACACTTACACAACCCACTTCTTTTTGCACTACGCATAATGATCCTCCTTGGAACATCCTTCTCTCCCATCTTCCGAGCATGACAGTGCTTATCTTCCAATTCATGCCAAGGACTGTGTTGCGAGGGTGGTGTTTACATTTACACATGCAATTGGCTAGATAAAAATTGCCTCCAGAGTACAATAAAAGGGAAATTAACCTTGGTAATATTACTTTGTGCCAAAGATTTGTCCTATTTACCAGTTCTGATATTTCAGATTTAGTGTTTACTTTGCTTCACATCAGTAATAGTTCCCCTCCTGACACCAGGCTTAGTTTTGTACATACAGGTAACTTTGTTTAATTGAGCTGACTAAAGCTTAAAATAAAACAAGCAAATGTCATCATATGAGTGATTTCTGTTGCAAAGATAGTGCATTGATGCTACTACAGCATTTCCTGATAAAATAATAAGCATTATTGAGCTGCTCTCAAATTCTCCCTGACTTCCCTTGTTGGAACAATAACGTTACAAAGTGGAGATGCATTAAAAACTAGAGCATCTATTATTAGGTTTGATGTAACACTGTCAATGTAATTGTCAGAGAGACGGCAAAACAACAGCTTTTTATGCCATGGAACTGTAACTTCAATTAAGGACTATTGAACTAAGCTAAAAGACTCTTATGTTAAAAAAAAAAAAAAACCAAAACAACAAAACCTGTTTCTGTCCTTAATGAATTATTTAATATATTTCTAAAGTGGTACTTTTTCAGCTTTCCCCTGAGGTATGATGCATTCAAGGACAAAAAAAAGGATTGATGGCAAGGAAAAGAATCAGGTTTGCTTTTCTTGCTGCTGGATGTCACAGCAGACATACCTTCTTGGTTGGAAGAAGGCTGTGAATACTGCAGCATGTTCTCTTTTGCTGTCAGAGGTGTTGTGGTGCCAGAAAATTTCCACTGCACGTGAATGAAGGAAGATACACTGCATTTTGCGGCTTCTTTCACAGTTAAGCTAGGGAATATTCAATAGCTCCAGTTATATGAATTATTAAATTTAACTATTTCTTTGTAGTTGCATCCTTGAAACTATTACCATAGGATGATCTGGTAAATCATAAAGCATATTTATTATCTTCAGACTATTGGGGGAATTAAGGCTTTTAGGAAATACAGGTTCGTATCAGTTATTTGCTGTATGCCAACACACTGCAAACTGCTTAATTCAGCTACTGCCTTGAGGGATCTAATTTTTTTTTAAAATCAGCTATTTGTCCTACAGAATGAGTAATTTGTTTTTTCCATAGAGACTCTTCAGATCTCTGGAGTTCATTAAATACCTTATTATCGTTTTGCATTGAGCCTATCGTGATGTCAGTAACCTTAATGTACATCTCTTTTTGGAAGGAATTTTGTGTATGTAAACCGGACTTCTTTGCACAGGCACTAATGGCATAACTGCTTAGGTACTACTTCTCTCACCCAGTTTTCACTGCAAAACACAGTTAGTGGTAATTTGACGCAGAATTCACGTTTCCTCAGAACAGTATCAATACAAGAGGAGATACTTCTGCAGCCATGTGGTGATGAACCTCCTTGCATCCGATGTGCTCAGACAAGGACTTGAGCTTTGGCATGAGAGACCCTGTGTATCACAGGTATCACAGAATCATAGAGCAGTTTGGGTTGGAAGGGACCTTCAAAGCTCATCTAGTCCAACCCCCTGCAATGAGCGGGGGCATCTTCAACTAGATCGGGTTGCCCAGAACCACATCCAGCCTGGCCTTTGAGGATAGCGCATCCACCACCTCTCTGGGCAACCCGTGACAGTATTTTACTATCCTTGTTGTAGTTTTTTCCTCACATCCAGCCAGAATCTCCCCTCTTTTAGTTTAAAACCATCATCCCTCGTCCTGTCGCAACAGCCCCTGCTAGCATCAGCTCTCCTCGCTACAGACACAAGATGGCGGCCGCCGCGCATCTCCTTGGCAACTGAGCTCTCCCTGCCGCCGTCATCACCGCCACCGCCCCGGAAGTCCCGCCCCGGCGCGTCGCAGTTGCTATGGAAGGTGCCGGAAGGGCGGGCCCGCGGTTTGGTGGAGCCGCCGGCCGGGGCGATGGAGGCGAGCGGCGGGTGTGGCTGGGTTTGAGGGGGAGTCGCGGCCGTCTCTCTCGCCGGCAGGTGAGCGCGGGCAGCGGGCTGGGTGTCGTCCCTCTCGCAGACACACGGTGCGGGCTGCAACCACCCGCCGTTGGGGGAGATCACCGGCCTTCCTTCCCCCACCGGGCTTATCGCGACAGCTGAAGATCTTTGTGGGATCTGACCCCTCCTCGGAGATGGAGGGGTGAGGTAATCACCTCGCTTAGGTTCACCCTGCGGACCCACTCTCGGAGGGTCCGTGGCAGGGACAAGGGCAAAGCTAGACAAGAGTCAGCATGTTCGTCGGTTGTCACGACATGTCGCGACATGTTGGTGAAGGCCCAAGTCCACTGTGGTTCCCTGCGGGAGCATGTGTACGCGCGTCTGCTCCTGGCGCGTGTGGTGACCTCCTGCTCCCCGGGGTCCTCGTTGCCCACAGCTCAGCCACGCAGCCCTTCCAGGCTTCGTCTTCTTTTTTTCCCTAACATTATGGGAATACCTGTGGCAGGCCCTCCCAGTCTCCTTTAAAGGAGCAACTGCATCAGCAGAACTGGAGTTTCCAGTAATAATTATGAAACACAATTACGTCTTCCAACTGTTAGAAGCAAATAGAGCTTGCTAGATCAGATGCTGCAGGCTGTGGCACCACTTGCTTACGCTTATCTTTGTAGTGTGAAAAGCTGTTCTGCAGTCAGCATGAGTAGCTTCCATAGTGGCAGTAATGACAACCAGGGTGCTTTTGGATCTTGCCGTCACTGCATGAATTTGTGCCAGGGCAAGAGGCCCTCACTTTGGGATTAGGCTGCTGCCAAAGCTTCCTTATGTTTGCTTGCTGTCCCTGGGACCAGAAATGGCAGTGTTTTGGGGAAGTGTCAGGCCTGCTGTACCTATATTAAACATGTGTTGTCTCCTGAGTAGGAGGTCTGGTGCTCTGTGAAGGATTTGACTTCATGAACCATTACCCTACTATATGCAGTAGGCAGGCTGGGGCTGTGTTATACAGCTGTTTGCCATTTTAAGGATCTCAGCTGACCAGAAGTTTGGACACACTGTTATCTTGTGCAATCTCATCGGGTTGTCTGGCATACCTAACTGCAGATTAGAGGATTCCTGTGGAAAACTATGTTGTATTAAAATTGTATCAAAAATTCTTATTTTCAATAATATAGCTTAATACGACTCCTAATTTGTCGGTTACACAAAATGAGAAGATTTTATTTACAGGCCAGTTAAGCATCATCTGAGATGGTCAAACCATCTGCATAAACCAAGGACTAATTTTTAGTCTGCTGTTGTATTGCTAACCTTTCAATCATCCTGCCAGGTGATGGGCCTATAAGGCCTAAAGTTTCCAAATCAGGAGAAGAATATTTGTGGCAGAAGTTATCTTCAATTTTTAGCTTTGGTTTCATTTTTATTCACCTTCCTGTGGGCAAGTCTTCTGTTGACTTGTCTCTAGCTTCTGAAATCAAACCATGCCATTTCTGGGAGTTGTATAGCATAACTAGTCATGGAGCAGTCCCACCTGCCACCTACCACAAAATCCACTTGCTGGATCAGCACATGCAATCTTCCAGGGTTCCTAGCTGTAGGATATGTAGTATGTGTTGAAATCTCTTCATAAAGAATCCTACAGAAAGGATGCTGTAGCAGCTGTTGCATCCAAGGGTAAAAATGAGATTACAGCATCAGAGGTGTTAGCAAAGCAGCCCTGCTTATGGCAGTGCTCCCAGTATCCTAATCTTTGCCAGGCAGCAGCTACATGCTTCTATGAAGGCAGAGGTCCAGGTGGCTACATTTGTCTGATGCAGCACTGCTGGAAGAACAAGCCCTGAGGGCAGTTGCAGCTTAAGGATGCTGGAGCAAGACACACTGGGGAAGTAGGGAGATGGATCAAGGAGTTGGGTAATAGAGAAATGGGTATAGGGTTTGGGCTGGATGTTGGTAACCTTAAGGGGTAGCTTGGAGATGTGGAGCACATGTTTTAAGGCCTTTTGAAAATTTTACGTTGTGTTTGGTTAGTGTTATTTAAAGCATTTCCTTTTGGAGGGGCAATTCTATTCCAAGCTGACTAATCCCTGAACTTTTAAAACCACAACAAGCATGTGTGTGATACTAGTGAGTCACTGCTGATGAATCATGCATACTTGAGTACAAATAAATGAATCCCTTTGTTTCATTTATTTTTGTTTTGGTAGTACCTGGAGGGCCTACAGAAAGATCATGACCTTGTGGAACCAGGTGTTGTCTAAGCACAGAAAAAGACAGACCCTGAGCCTTCATACACTCTTTTTTTGTCTATTTAAGCTTGATTTCAACTTGTCTTATCATCATGAATAAAAATAAGTATGTCTAAACCTCTTTAAAATTGAAGTCTAATAGTAAACATTTCTGCCTTGTGGAATTTGGCAATTTAAGTGGTCTAGGAAGGAGAAGATGGGAGCACTATATAAGGGACTATGCCTCCCAGGAAGAGAGAAATCGTAGGGCTGTTAGCTTGCTGACAAGTGTATGTCTCCACATGTAGTCCTGAAAATTGAAGACCCCTTGAATTCCAGCTCAGTATCTTAGTTGCAGAAATTGTATTAACTACATTCATTACTTCCATTAATTACACCACTACATTAGTAAAGGTGATTTGAAGTTTTAATTGGCTTTTCAATGGAAAATTATATGTAGAAGGAACAGTAGGGGGTGTTACATGTGTGTGTATCTGCTCTCTCTCACTCCCTTGCATGGCAGTTTTTGTCCCTGGAAGAAGGGTATGCCAAAGAATCTGCTTTTGGCTTAAGATTTTCTTCTGAATTAGCACTCTTCTGCACTTGATTTCTGTGAAACAACTATGAAGATTCACTAGGCTGCAATTGTAAAAGTAATTTGTGAAATGAACTGCAGAAAGACTAAGCAGCAGCATTGAAACTGCTTATGAGAGCTTTAGCAATCATCATTTGCTCATGAATGTATGTTAGCTTGCTTAAGTTACATATCAATCAGGCATAGATCCTGGGATCAGCACTTACTTAGAGATGGGGTAAATAAGTTCTTTGTGGTATATAGTGTACTGTCCACATCAACTGGATTGTAGAATTTTGGCTGTTGACTATGTATGCGCAAAGGATGATATGCTTCAATTCATGCGTCTGTGCTCCCATCTTCACTGGTATTGCATTAAAGCACAATTTAAGACGGTATAAAGGTGATCTCACCAAACAGCCCTTGTAAGCTGGTGAGTGCCTGCTGCTTTCAGAAAGCTTCAGCCTGCACTTCACAGAAGGGGCTAATCGTGGGTGCTGGGCTCATCCACGCTTCTTCAGTGCATTTGTTCTGCATTCCTACTTTGCTAGATTTGCCTGTCTTTCTCAAACAAAAAGGACAAGGATGCAATACAGTATATCAGAGGATTGACAAAGTCACGCAAGCCCTCAGAACAAGACAGACAGTAATAAACTGGAGTGAGTTGAGCGGGGACTTTACCAAGATGGTCGGGGGCTGAAGCACTTGTCTGGTGAGGTGAAGCTGAGCAGCTGTGTTTCTTCAACCTGGAGAAGAATAGGCTCTGGGATCACAGCCTGCCTGTGAAGAGGTTATTAAAAAAGACAGACCAAGGCTCTTTAGCAGGGTGAAGGGTGGGAAGGTGAGAGACATCAGGCACAAGCTGAAAGAAGAGTTCCAGAATATATGAGACAATATGTGAGGGAAAAACAATACCCAACACCTTTTCCCATTGAGACCAGTCAAGCAGCGACACAGGATGCCCAGAGAAGCTGTGCTATCTCCATTTTTGGAGGTTTTCAGAATGTGGCTGAGCAACCTGGTTTGACCTTATAGCTAACCGTGCATTGAGCAGGAGGCTAGACAAGAGATCTCCTGAGGTCACTTCCAGACAATCCTGCAGCCGTAGCAGGAAAGGCTGACCTGGACATGTGAGAGATCTAATGTAGAAGGTGACACCTAGGCGTCATGAAGTGAAATGCAGCTTATAAGCACTTCCCAAGCAACCATAAATCTGCAGAAATCCTGCTGTCAGTGTTTTAATCATAGAATGGTTGGAGTTGGAAGGGACCTTAAGGACCATCTAGTTCCAACCCTGCTGCCTTGGGCAGGCAACCTTCCATTAGACCACGTTGCTCAAAGCCCCACCCAACCTGGCCTTGAAATAAACCCTGCTTGCAGTGCAGCCTTTTCCAAACAAGTTTGTCTGTCAGTCTCCAACATTTCACCTCTATTTCACATTTCCCACCTTTCATCCTCTTCAGCCCCCTGGGGAGGTGCCTTTTCCCAAGCAAAGCAAGAGGTAGGCAGGGTCCCCAGTGCCCACCTATGGCCTTGCTAATGATATCAATTTACCCATCTCCCCCTTCCCCACTAGAGCAGAAGGCAAAATCGGAGCTGCATGAAGTACAGAGAAGACAATACAAAGTTGGTAATGTTACTTTGGTTCCCTTCCTTGCAGTATAGGAAATCATGATTCTTGGTAGAGTACGTAAGGGTTTTCTCTTGGATTTTCTTCTACAGTCATGAGGTGATTCATATGAACTCTCCTACTTCAAAATAAAGCAAAAAGGTATATGCATGTAAGTCTTGGTTAGAAATCATAGAATCACAGAATGGTTTGAGTTGGAAACCCATCCAGTTTCAACCCCCCTGCCCCAGGCAGGGACACCTTCCACTAGACCAGGTTGCTCAAAGCCCCATTCAGCCTGGCCTTGAACACCGCCAGGGATGGAGTATGTACTACTTCGCTGGGCAACCTATGCCAGTGCCTCACCACCCTCACAGCAAAGAATTTTTTCCTTATGTCAAATCTAAATCTACCCTATTTCAGTTTAAAGCCATTTACCCTTGTCCTATCCCTACATGGCTTTACAAATCCTCCCACTCCAAATTTCTTGTTGGCCACTTCAGGTACTGGAAGCTGCTCTGAGGTCTCCCCAAAGCCTTCTCCAGGCTGAAGAAGCCCAGCTCTCTCAGCCTGTGTCCATAGGAGAGGTGCTGCAGGCCTCTGATCATCTTTGTGGCCCCCTCTGGACTTGTTCAAGCACAACCATGTCCCTCCTGTGATGTGGGCCCCAAAGCTGTCTATGCTCTATGTTTGGTTCTGTAATCATTATACAATAAGTGTACAACAGTGATTTCTGGCATTAAGGTATTTAGTGAGGGATGTGAGTTGTGTGCCCATTCAGAAAAGGTGGATTGGCTGGGGAGCATGAAAGGTCCTTGTAACTAGTGTCCTTGTTTGCAGTTGTCCAGTTCACAAATGCAGTCCTGTTCCTTGATTTTTAATTTAATTTGCTACTTTTATCTTTACGTTAGAATGCTTTCTAGATGTCACTTTGGAGGTTTTCAGAACATGGCTGGATAAAGCTCTGAGCAACCTGGTTTGGCCTTTCTAGGTGCCACTTTTCATCTACTTTGACCATCCTGGTTTGTGTCCTCCCCTGTTTTCAAGTTCACATCTTTAAACTTTTCTTTACTAATAGGTTGATTCTGCTTTAGGATAATGGCAGGAAAAGTAAAGTGGGTAACTGACATAGAAAAATCTGTTCTAATAAACAACTTTGAAAAAAGAGGCTGGATTCAGGTGGCAGAAAATGAAGACTGGAATTTTTACTGGTAAGTGCATTAAAAATACCGATTTCTAATTTTATGAAGCATTTTAATATATTAGTATCATCAATAATATAAAAAAATGTATATTAAAAAGTGAAAGATACAGAAGTTATCATTGATTTATCACAGTGCTCCTAAGAGTATAACATTGTTTCTGTAATTTCTTAGGCTACCACTGATCTTCTGTTCAGAGTTGCACTGGTAGACTCCTGTATATGTGCAGGCCTGCTAAAGTCATTGGGGTTCCTCAGAGTAGAAGGTCCCATCTGCATGGATCCATTCCCATGCTACTGATTGCATGTATCTTTGCAGTTTGTCAAAGAGATGGTCAGGGAGTGGAAAGTCAGTGACCTAGCAAGATACCGATCACTTCTGGGAATGCCAGTTGTGAACAGCCCAGGGGGAAGGCTGTGCTCAGTGTTTTTTGAACTGTGATACCTGATTTTATTTGATTTTGGGTTTGTTTGTTTTGGGTTTTTTTATGCAGTAAGCAGAAGTTTTCCATTACTGTTGGAGTGGATATGTGGCCTGAGGGGAATCTTTGAATGTATCTGTTCCCCAAATTTTCTGGCAACTCAACATGAAATAATCCAAGAATACACAGTTCCTATATATGATTAAATATTCTTTTATGTGTGTGGTGGAGTCTTGCCCTGTTACCAGAGTCCAGGCTTCTATAAGGGCTTTGAGGACTGTACTTCTTCATGATAATGATTTATATACAGACTGATTATTCAGCATTTCAATACTTAGAATGAATGTGAAGTTAAATCAGAACAATGGTGAAAGGAGGAGAGTAAAGAATCTAGCTTCTCTTTTGGCATTTGTGTAATATAAGACCATGAAATGCTGTCCTAGAATGCAGTAATCTATTAATTGGCAGAAACAGTACTCTGTACGTAAACCAAACAATTTATATTGTCCCTTTCAAATATGACAGAATGGTGGTTTGTGCTGCCAAGTGTGCCCTGTGTGAACCACTTATTCAAATGGGTAGGAATCTAGTAATCTTCTCATGCTTTTGGAATGTGGTTGAGGGGAAGTGGTGGAACAGGGCACTCATAGAGACTGTTGTGTGACTGGTTGTTTTGTTTTGTTTTTTTCTTCCTGAAATAATAACGTAGCAGATTGATAGCAGTCAGAAAATATTCTTAAATTTCCAATATGAGACATGCAATAAAAATTTTCTTCATATCTACAGTCCCACTCTTATCTTCTCTGAAAAATAAAGTAGATATGTGATGGCATTGTCACTGCAGCCCCTGATCTGGCATTTACGGGTGATTTTAGTAAGCTCTCTGAATCACTGTTTTGAATTCATATGCTTGACAATCTGAATAGCAAGGTAGTCAGTAGGAGGTTGGTTTTGTGGCTTTTTTTAAGAGAGAAACTGAGTTTACAGGAAGAGAAGTAACAGAAGTTGCTTCTGTAGCACTTGGGGGTGTTTTGGGCATTTTTAGATCTTTCTGGGGCTTAACCTGATATCAACAAGGCAGAGTCCAGTAGGCCCAAGTTGTCGTCTTCCTTTCCTCTCTTTTTATGCCAATTTTAGTCGTAGTAGAGGGGTCAATAAAACCTCTGGCAGGATTTTCTTAATAGAAGGTGAGCACATCTTGCATTGTCACTGCAGCAAGGTGTTAGAGTATAAAGAGAAATGAGGGAGAAAAGTTGAAGTGTATGTAACAAAAAAACCACCCCAAAAAACCCAACCGACTTTATCTTTCTGGATTGTGTTCCTTGGGTAATGGATTTAAACTTAAACAGGGGAAGTTCAGGTTAGATATAAGGAAGAAGTTCTTTACTGTGAGGCACTGGAACAGGTTGCCCAGAGAAGTAAATGCTCCTTCCCTGTCAGGGTTCAAGGCCAGGCTGGACAGAGGCTTGGGCAACATGATCTAGTGTGAGGTGTCCCTGCCCACGACAGGGGGATTGGAACTAGATGATCTTAAGGTCCTTTCCAACCCTAACTGCTCTATGATTCTGTGGAGTCTTTTGGTATCTGTCTTTGCTTGCAGGATGAGCGTACAAACAATCAGAAATGTTTTCAGTGTGGAAACTGGTTACCGCCTCTCCGATGACCAGATTGTCAATCATTTCCCAAACCACTATGAACTGACCAGAAAAGATTTGATGGTAAAGAATATCAAGCGATACAGGAAAGAACTTGAGAAAGAAGGAAGCCCTCTTGCAGAAAAGGATGAAAATGGGAAATATATTTATTTGGGTATGTGGTTCTCATTATCAGCGTTCATATTTTTTCCTGTGCAGTCAATAACCTGGAACTGACCTAGCTTTTCTGTGCATAAAGCACCGAACTCCTGAAGTGTTAGAACATTAAAGTAACTATCTTGAAATGCTCTGTCCCCGTCAGTGAAGTGCACTTTGTCCTAAAATTGTTTGCTGTATTCTGCAAACTTTACAGCCTTTTCTCTCTGTGTTCTCCTCCTTTTCTCTCCCTTCAAGTCTGAACTAGAGCAGAAGGAAACAGAGAATAGGTAAAGTGATAAAAACTGTTGTAGTGAATATTTTGTAAGAAATACTGTATTTTCAAAGCTTTTCACAAACTTTCCTTTGAAGAAAAATAGCCAATATTTTACAAATTGAGAGAAATAGAGGGGATGCCACTTGTTCAGGATCTTTGTTGAAATTGGAGAAAAAGTAGGAATAAAAGACTGAACATTTCTGTTTTCTTGTATTACCAAAGCACCAAGGCCCAATTCCTCCACTGTATACTTGCCAGTATTCAGCAGTATTCAAACAGGAGCACAAATCCAGCTTGTGTGCATGGAAGTTGTATTTAGACTATGTTTTGTTAGGAGTAAGATCCTTAAAGAAGACTGAACTTAACAGTGCAGCATTACCTGAAGCAACATTGGATGAAATGATAATAAAACTACTATTTTTAAGTATAAGGGTATAGAACTAGATTTGTAACTAGGCATTTTATGGTTGGGGGGGTGGTGAGGGAGAGGTGGGTTGTTTGGTTGTGTTTTTGTTGATTTTGCTTTGTTTTAAATTATTTTGAAGAGGGAAAATTGTGGGATTAAGGTACTCTGCATTAAGATTAGTGATGAAACCAAAGGCCTCTGGAACTTCACATGAGATGGGGCTGGAGTTTCTTTAATTCAAAAGTGAAAAAACATTATCTGAATATCTTATACTGGAGCAAAAACTAAAATTAACTTTTTCAGAGAGGCTCTTGGCAGAACAGAATGAACAAACTCTTCAGAGGAGAAGTTTGGGGGAAGTTGGAAAACAAGTAATGACTGCTAGGAAATACAACTAAACAAACAAAAGGCAAACCAGCAGTAGATCAGGAATGAGGAGAATGAAGTTGTTTTGGAGGTCAGAAAGCATTGGAGCGAAACAGAAGTGGGGATACGTTGAACTGATTTACATCTTGGGAAAGTGAAAGGAAAGCACTGTTCATCCCTGAAAAAGAGCAGCAGTTCTGTATGGATGGAAGTGAAAATAATTTGACAGCAAAAAGTGACAAATGATTTTCTTTACATTTGAGTAAGCATTGTAATACTGATTGTGGGAGCAAGTAAGTGACTAATGGGAGTTACATGGAAATAGAAATTACCTCATCCAAAGGGGAAGCGACACCAGCATTCACGTTTGGTGCACAGAGGATGATAAGGTGGTTAATTGGATGGTAAAAACTGACATAGGAAATTGAGGAAGTTTGATAAAGTTAAGTTGGGATGCTATGTAGTACTCTAATTTCACAGCATATAAACAGAATGCAAAAACTAATGAATGTGAATTAAAATCTACTTAGCTGAAGTTAGCAGCAATATTTTGCAATTGTTTGTTCAAGTGTAAACCTAAATGTAGAATTTAAATGAGATGAAAAGCAACGTAAGTCTTAATGAAGGTGGATAGTGCCAGACTGGAAAACTGAAAATACAGAAATTTTTTAGTCTGTGTGTGCCAATGGCTTTATCAGACACAGTGTCCTTAATTGTGCACCTTATGTGGGTTTTTTGTTTTTCCTTCACTCAGATTTTGTTCCTGTTACTTTTATGCTTCCGGCCGATTATAATCTCTTCGTTGAAGAATTCAGGAAAAATCCCTCCAGCACTTGGATTATGAAACCTTGTGGCAAAGCTCAAGGAAAAGGAATATTTCTAATCAATAAACTCTCCCAAATTAAAAAATGGTCTCGAGACAGCAAAACGTCTTCGTAAGTTCTTAAAACCCAAACCCTTTAGCGTACTTTCTGTAATGAGGTGAACCGTATGCTAAGTATCTGATTCATGGAAAAGTATTCCATTATTATTGCTTTGTCATTATATAGTTAGTTTTGTATTTAATCTCAGTTGTTATCTGGCTTCCTCCTTCAAGCAGGTTTTAATGCAGTTTGTTTTGGTATGAGGAGGTACAAAGCACTGTTCAATTAACTATTCTTTATAAAAATGCTTTCAATGGTGTTGGGGCAAAAACTGTGCAAAAATAAATCGTTCTGCTTCATAGCATTAAATAACAGGAAATGAGAAAAATCTTTCCCTAAGCAATTTCAGTCATTATTAAATACATATTAAATAACTTTCAATTAGTAGAAAGGAAGAGTGCATTTATTGCGACATGGTCTAGTGTGAGGTGTACCTGCCCATGGCAGGGGGGTTGGAACTAGATGATCTTAAGGTCCTTTCCAACCCTTATGATTCTATGAAATACATTATCCATTTGGAGCACAAAAATGTTGGTGATCTACTTCCATATGGATGAAGCAGTTCAGCAATCTGCCTTTTTCTCTGACTAGTAAAGGTTTTGATCACACAACTAATACTGATTTTTTTTACTGTTTTAAAGTGACTGGTTGACTATCGCTCAAGCCTTCCCCCCCTTTTTGACTTTGAATCTGAAGAATGTCACAATCTGAAAGTTATCTTAGCTTTTCACAGTGGTTTGCCAATGCACACCAAGCATAAATACAAATGTTCTATATGACCTTGACTAATGAAGGTTATGTACTGCGTACTCTTCGCTTGTCTGAACTGTGCCAAGCTCTAAGTGCTCTCCAAAGAAAAGACTGGCTTGTAGAGCTGCATTCTGCGTGGTGCAGTCAGCTACCCTGTTAACTTCAAAACTGAGTTTAAATGGTTAATTGATCTTGGTCATCTGAGTAGTATTTTAAACATTTTTTTGTGTATGTAATACCTGATGCCAAGTGTGTATTATTAACCACTATGGCTTTATACATTGTACATGCAGAAGATAAAGATTTCAGCCAATCCACAATGTACAGACTACTAAAGGAGAAAAAGATTTATCAGATCGTATCATTGCAATTGTTACATTCTGAAACATGATTTGTGTTTTTCAGGTTTGTATCTCAGTCTTCCAAAGAAGCCTATGTGATTTCTCTCTATATTAACAATCCATTACTTATTGGTGGAAAGAAATTTGATCTTCGTCTGTATGTTTTAGTATCTACATATCGTCCCCTGAGATGTTACATGTAAGATTGTATGTATTTGTGTTTTGCTTTGACAGAACATTTAATGTAGTCAAAATCAGTATCCTATAATGTTTTTTTTCTGATTTCTTGTTGGGATTTAACACATTTTAATGACTTTGCATTTAAGGTATAAACTTGGATTTTGCCGGTTTTGCACAGTAAAATACACACCAAGTACAAGTGAACTGGATAACATGTTTGTACATCTTACAAACGTTGCCATTCAGAAACACGGGGTAAGTGTACTTAGTTCTTAGGTGCTCTTTTGTAGCAAGACTCTTTTTCTTAAATTGTCCCAGAACCTTGGAATAAAATGATTTTATTTGTCATATTCTTCATCATCTTGCAAAATACTTCAACTTGAACTTCTAAATAAATAAATTTTAGAAGACTGCAGGTCAAAAGTATGCAAGATAATGAGTTGCAGCTCTGTAATAGAGTGGGATATCTTCCGTATTGACTTGCAGTAGTTGAAAGCAGGGGTTTCCTTCCAAGTCTCCTGTCATTTAAATGCTAATATGCTTATTTAGGAATTGGTTCTCTGAGCAGCGGAATTAATGAAGCCTGGTTCCTGTAGATTTGTATTTTATAATAGCATTTTAATATCAGCTTCCTGATCTTCCCTTCCCATTCTCTCTCTCCCATGAAGTTAATTCAGCTTTCCTATTTTCAGCACTTACTCATCACAATACTTTCCAGCTTCTTCTCATGTTTTCCCTGCTCCGCCCCCCTCCTTTCATTCCCTGGGTAAGAAAGGGAATGCACAGTTCTGAGCTTGGAGATGGATGTTTGCTGCCTGGCCAGCTGGTGGCTTCCTTTTGAATGGACAGAGTTCTACCTGTGAAACAGTCCTGTCCTGTAATTTGCCATTGATGTTCATAAAACATGTGGAAACCTGATAGCTTTGACAGGACTTCCTTATGTCACTGTAGGCTGAAATTCACCAGTGGGAGGAAAGGCCAGTGGGTCAGGGGGGACATGCACGGATGGACATGCATTATGACTGCCCAAGCTTTGTTTCTTCAGGGAATACACTTGATGATGATGACTGTCCCTTTTGCATTTTTAGCGGATGTCCGTGATTTATAGACTATGCCTCTGTTACAGTAATTAAAACTATACTGCCGTGCTTCCTAATTTCATAGTTTTTAGTTTAGGGAAAATAAATGTGTGTGTACATAAACACACATATACACTCATGCATATATATTCATGTGTGCATACACCAACACTCAACAAGATACATTTAATGTATCTTAAATTCCAACCATGCTAAATGTGTCTATTATTGTTCTGTAAGATGTGCAGCATAGCAAAACTGCTTTTATCTGGACATTCTGTAGAATCATAGAATCAAGTCCAACTGTTACCCCAGGACTGCCGGGTCCACCACTAAACCATGTTACTAAGGGCCTCATCTACATGGTTTTTGAACACTTCCAGGGGCATGTCATTTGTGGTGGTAGTTATAAACTAGGGTAAGTGTCAAAATATGGCATTTTTCAGTACTGCAAACATTTTCTTGCCCAGGTGCTGATTTGTAAAGTGCTTCAAACACATTATGGTTCTGACAGGGCTCACTGATAATTGATTGTGGTGAAAGTAGATCCCATATGACTCAGAGCATAAATCATGGTGCTGTTTGCAGTAGTAAAGAGGTGAGGCATGTGATATGTTGCCTATCCCAAATAAAAGTAGATGTGACAGTAGTGGTGAGGTCACCTGAAGAGAAGACAACAGAAATGTGTATAGAAGTAGCAGTTTAAAAGTGTAGAGTCGTTACTGGAATATATGAAAAACTATATAATTTTGGAACCGCTAGTATTTGTTTTGTAGAAAGAAGTGAGAAGTTTAATGCAAAGCCACTCTATCCTTTCTATGTGCCCTTGTGTTTTAAAATTGTCTAACTTTGGAGGCACTTAGGTTGTACAGTTTTATATGAACCTGATTTGAACTGTCAAGTAATTTATCAAAATCATTATGTAGTTTAGAAAAACTCTTTGTGTTCTAGCTGTTAATCTCTTCTCTAAGCCCTGTGTGAACCACAGTGTTCCAGTGTGTTTGTATCGTACTAAGTAATGGGAAAACATCCCTAATTTGAAAAGTGTACAAGTCTATATTGGGAGAGGGAAATGGTAAAATGCAGGAAGGAAACTAAGTCACTATACCCATTATAATGTTGGTACTGGGAAACATAGTTCTAGGTCGTTATTCACTGCATGTGCAATACAAACAAAACAACAGTAATTCAACATTATTGTTTTTAGTTAGTGATCTTCTGCATAGCCTGCAATACTTTAATATTTTTAATTAAACAGCTGTGATTGTGTAAGGCTCTACCCAGTTGCAATCTGTTTTGATTTGAGTACTTGTTCTGCAGTGCAAAGAAGGTTGAAACTTTGATCTCTGGAATCTGGTCTCAAGACATTTTTTCTGTGCAGCAAGTCCTGAGAACCATGTTTGAGGGTCTTGTACAGCCCAGTTTTACAAATGTACTAAGGGGGGAGCTGTAGAAAAGCCTAAATATAGATAGAGGTTCCTCTGACCTCATCTTAGAAGATCACAGATTTCGTTCACTTGAGAACTGTTTTCTGCATTGTGTTCTATAATTTAGCAGGCATACAATCATTAATCATTACAAATACTCTGAGGAGAACCTTTTTAAAGGGGCAAAGCATGTGTCTTGAGAGTTATATGAGGGCTTAATGCATGTCTTTCCATCAGTACTAACACCCCCAGTTTGCTGTTCCCATTTAAAGAGAATGTAGTGCAGAGCATTCATAGCCTCTGAAAAGACAAATACCTCCTTTTCCCCCTGTTCTGTTTCAGTAGCACTTAGTGTTTTTTTCTATATCAAAATACTGAATTACTTGAAAAGTTAACCTTTAAAAATCAGGTCATTTCACTGTCCTCTTGAATGTAACTGTTGGTTACCATTAAGATGATACCATGTTTGCCTTTGGGGAAACAGACAAGTCACATTTTAAATGAATAAACAGAAACAAGCACTTTCGAGTGCTCTGTTCTAAAACAGCTTACTTCAGTGAAATTTAGCTGTTGCTCACTTAATTATTTCTCCCTTATCCCAGAGGAAGAAAAAGTTCAATTCTTTCCTTTCACATTTTAAAAGTTGTATTTCCAAACCATAAATTATGTTTTACTATAAAGCTGTCAAAGTACCGGTTGGTGTCTTTCTCTGAAGAAAGATTTATTACTTGATTTGCAATGTGTGATATAAACATATACAGCTATAGTAAAAACAGTTGTTTATATAGAGGGCAGTTCAAAGTAAAGCTGAAGTCTTCATAAAGCTGTAGAGTAAAAATAACTTGCTGAGGTTTTTATAGAGCACTACTTGTATGTAAGTGTAAGTGGGCTTTTTGTGTGAATGAAGCAAAACTGCAGAACAACTTAAAAATCTTAGGCTAAACTAACTCCTTTACTTTTCAGGATGATTACAATCATATCCATGGAGGCAAGTGGACAGTGAGTAACCTGCGCCTGTATCTAGAAAGCACACGTGGAAAGGAAGTCACAAACAAATTATTTGATGAAATTCACTGGATAATTGTGCAGTCACTGAAGGCTGTGGCGGTGAGTACTGTTGTTCCTGGAATGCTGCCAGCGACAGCACTACAGCTGCAGGCTGCTCATATCCATGGAAGTGAGTTTGCCATCAAAACCCCTAAAGTATTTTTCCTGCTATGTGAGTGATGGTGTTGATGCTGATTTCTAAAATTCTGTTGTGTCCTGACTTCTCTGAGTGGACTTGAATTTTGGGTGAGTGAGTAAGCTGACTGCATACTGAAGAAGTGGATGAATCCCTTTCCTTGAGGGCTCTGTGAACTAGCTAATATGACATGATACTGCTCTTGTGAATAGTATTAAGCTCTGTCAAGGCACATGATGCCATTTCAGCAATAACAAATGTGTCAAAGAAAAAATAGCTCTGGAGGACAAGCTGTCAAAGCAAACATGAGGCTTTTAGTTCAGCAGAGTTGCATAACTTACTTTCACCTCACGCGTCACAGTTATCATGAACTCTCACTTAAAAAGTAGAAACCAATCCTCTGCTTAAGTGACTTTCTAGTGTTTGGGTAATGTCCTGTGATTACAGTAGAGAGCAGGTATTGCTCTGTGAGTCAGCTGGGGTAATTTAAGAGCTCGCCAGTGCCAAGGACTATCCTGTTCCCAAGTACATGGTCCTGTCATCTCTCTGGCACCTTCTTGAGCTGAATCAGCTCACTCGCCCAACTGACAATTACTCTATTGCTTTATTGATGGGTTAGTATTGTGCCAGTGTAATAAGCTAAATTGCCTCACTGAAGGACCAGCTGAACACCAGAATCAGCACAAGAAAGAAGGACAGGTTATGAAGCTAAGGTCACTGGAAGGTGAGGAGGCATGGCTCAACTCACTGTCTGCTGTGTAATCCTATTTGAAACCAGATGTGAGAAGAAAAGGGGTTTAATCCAAATGTTAGAAGAACCTTAGAAGAGGAAAAAGTGTTGAGAATTATTGAGCATGAAATCTTTTGCTCCTCTGTCTTTCTGACAATGGCAGGTGTAATGAGAGATGCTTGTTCCTCCTGTCCCTTTCACTCCCTGAAGAATGGAAAAGCTTTCATTATTAGCCTAGGGGAAAACATCTCACTAACCTGTTATAAAGGTTTCTTTAAAAGATCTGATGAGATTTCCATAGGAGAAAAGTATTGCCATGCACACCAGAAATGGTTAGCAGATGCTGGAGAACTGCTGATTCTCTAGAGAATGTACATCCAAGCACAACTTGGTCCTTGGTTTCTGTTGACTTCCAGGTTCATAGTTGACTTGAGCTAATTACAGTTTTTAAATGTATCTGGTAATTGTTTGACCTCAAATTTCTACTCTACATGTTTATATTAGCAGAGTGAAAGAAACATCTTTGAATAAGTATCCTTTTTCTGAAATTTAAATAATTCACAATTATGCAAAGCTGTGTTATGTAGAACTTCCTTATGTCTCCTGATGCATGCAGGCTTTAAATATTGTTATTGCTTTCGCAAAATATGAAAACACGCTTCTTTTCATAACATAATGGAAAATTAATATGTTAGTATTAATTTTAATGGCATTAATACAATCATTAATATTGAAATACTACTTCCAGCTTGGAAAAAAAGAGGCAATCCTCAACTTACTAGTTAGCACACTTGTATTAGAGTAAAACCACTGAAAACTTGTAGAATATTCCTAATGTAGTCACAGTGGTCATAGTGATTTATAGCAAACAGAGTATGCATTCAGGTTACATAGTGAATTATTCATTTTAATACATATTGATATCTTTTTCTCTTTTTTTAGCCTGTAATGAATAATGATAAACACTGCTTTGAGTGTTATGGATATGACATTATCATTGATGACAAGCTTAAACCATGGCTAATTGAGGTAAAGTTACATAAAATACAGGGAAAAAAACTTCCTTCTCATTTCACAAAGTAAAACTGGCTAGATTTCAATATAGTCTTTCCTCTTTTGAAACAATGTCTTTTGTTCCTCAGGTAAGCATACTAAGAAAAATGTTGGAAAGTAGAACGGTCTGAGTGACCGAGCTTGCATGTGCTTTTGTTTCCTGTTTATTTGGTGTTTCTATTTGTTTGTGGATTTATGTTTTGTCTTTGAAATCCAGTATGTCCATGCAATTGGGATTCAGTGGCAGCCTGAATGATAGCAGCCCTATTATATACTGTATCAGTAGCTGGAAAATTAGCATTGGCTCAACGGAGCATAACATCAAACTTAGGTTTTAAATGCTGTTATGGCCTTAATGTTGCAGACTGTGAGGAAGGAAAAGGGGTAGATGGTGGGTAATTGGGATATTTGGAAGGGGTTTCCCCCCCACCATCTCCCATATAACACTCTTTAGTGTACTGACTTTGGGTCTGTGTTCAACATAAATCTTTTCCAGCTCTCTTCCTTCTCAATCTGATTGAAAGTGAAAGTTCAAACATGAATGAACTTTATTAAAAAAACTCCAAACATTTATTGTTCTGATACCACTTCTCCATAATAAATGTGGCACACAAGAGATACGTAAAATGAATCCCAGTTTTAATTAGTACAAGATGCAATGTAGTGCTTTGAATAGAGAGCATGTGTGTGCTTCTCCAGCTCACAAGTTAACAGGAGAGAACTTGGATTAGGAACATAAATACAAGCTATTTACCTAGAAGAAACCCACAGGTTCAAGTGTAGAGCAGCTGCTGGAGTGAACCAGGCAAACTGTAAGCACTGGAATCTATGGGGTTTGTATCTATGTAGGCTTATAAAATTAAACAAAAATCTGTGTTTTGTCTGATTCACCCTAGTGCATCTAGTCTCAACAAAAATCTTCAGGCTGACACTGCAGACATTTAGTGGTGTGGGGCTTTTTTTTTTCTAAGTAAAAAGAAAAATGCCCAGTGGGGGATTCCTTCCAGTGTCTGAGGAACTGAAAGATGTGCTTTGAGACGCTGAGTCTTAATTTCCTAAATAGTACATGTAGTCATCACACACGCTGTTTGGAGAACTATGTACCACTCAAAACCTGATGCTGACTGGGTTTTCTTTTCCTTTTGTAGGTTAATGCTTCCCCTTCTCTTACTTCCAGTACTGCTAATGATCGAATCTTGAAGTATAATCTTATTAATGACACACTTAACATTGCTGTGCCTAATGGGGAAATTCCAGACTGTAAATGGAATAAATCTCCACCAAAAGAAGTTCTTGGCAATTATGAAGTCCTGTAAGTTTTATCAATGTTCTATATAAATGGAAACGTTTTCCAGTCACCTCGCTTTTTTAATGTATAGTGTAGAGATAAGGTGAACTTCGTTCTGTTGTGAAAAATGCACACAAAGTACCACTTTGGTTTTTTGGAGTTGCAGTAGCAATGTTGGAGGGGGGGAGTGCATTAAAGCAGAGCTGCCTTGCCCGTTATCCAGAGAGAATGTTACTTTCTGCACCTTCTGCACTTTCAGCATGTAGATTTGAGGGGTAGAGGCTAAGAGACTGTTTTGTCTTCTACATGTGTAGAACTTTAGTTGTATTTAGTATAATATATAGATGGTAGTTAAATCGATACAATAGCAATTTTATACAATTTTTCTCTCACTTCATAGAAAAGACACCTCTTGACTCCTGTAATTCATGGATGTAATAGTAATGCATTGTCAGGTCTTTTTTTATTTCCCTAATCTGGATTACAAAGAGAGAAATTAAGGAGACAGATCTTTATGTTGGAGTGTGTGAAGGATTTATCTAGGATTGATTGGTCTTATGCAGAAAAACACTGATTTAATACCATGTTTTTAATAGTTTCTCATATTTTTTGAGAGAATATTTGGGTAGTTTCTCTAGCACTAGTGGTACAGTTGTTCAGTATGTCAGGAATGTGTTATGTACATAGGAGATCCACTGCTTTATACTGATCTTAAATACTCTTTATATTCTAGTAAAGACAGTTAAATGTCTGAATGATGACTTAACTTTGAATGGATGTTTTATACATGGTAGCTGTGAATACCTATGCAATAGTGTGATTAAATATATATTATGACTGTTCAAAAAATATTGTAGTATTTTTATAATTATAATTACACATCTATAGCTAATTTCTGCTTGGAATTTGTGTGGCAGCTGAGAGGTAAGTATATATTGAGGTTATCTGAGACCATAGTGGACTTAGATACTTGTCACTGTGGTTAAGTGTTACAAAATGCATGTCGTCAGATAAATTTAATTTAAGCACAGTTGTTTGTTCACCTCATTCTTTCCCTACTTGCTCTCTGATGCAACAGTGGAGTTTTTTAACATGGCAGCTAACAATCCTGTTTGAAGCAATAGCTTAAGACTTTATTAAACTGCCAGCAGCCTGACGTTCTGGCTTAACCACAGACCTGTGTAGTGAGGAGAAATACAGAAGTACATGGGAAATTTCACAAGTATAAAATTTCACAGACTCAGGAGTTTAACCAAAGCTGCCAGATGTTTTGTTTCTTTCAAAAAGTAGCTGAAGATATTTCAGTTGATCTGTATTGCAACATCATGTGGTAGTACATTTCCTCGAATAATAGCTGTGTTTCTTTCTGTGCATGTGTAGAATGCAAGCTGTGTGTAGAACAGCTTGTTTTAAATGTTAGTGCTAGATATTAAGCAAAATAAAATATAGAGGACCCACTCGTGTTTGTGTAGTGAATAACAGGACAAGGCATTGAAGAGGTTATCTTATTTTCAGATATGATGAAGAGATGGCACAAAGTGATGGTCCTGACCGTGACTTGCGAAGTCGTCCTGGGCAATCCACTGGAGTAAAAGGAAATCGTGCAAGAGATTCAGGAAAGCCTGTACTGACCACCTGGAAGTGATAACAGGAGAAACGGCTGCAGTTGTGGTAGGAAGGCATCATGAACAAAAATGCAGGTTTTGAACAGATTCGTCTACTTTGCTACCTTGCATATGGGAACTATTAAAAGAGGACAGTACAGCTGTTGAAAAGAAGTAAAACAAACAATCTAAAAGCAGGAACTGTACTAGACATACATTGATTTAATGATTATTCCAATAATTATATGTATAGTGTGTATGTATATATGATTATTTTGTACATACGTACTTTGTATATACTAATATTCTCCCAGTAATGATTGAGAACTTTCTTTATAAAGATGATAACTCAAAATGTGCATTCTGAAAGAAACCCCCTGCTGTTCCGAATATAATTTATTTCCTCTGTAACCTGTCCCTAGCTCCCTATAATAAATGAGCTGTGGATTCTGTAAGAGTGTGGTGTGGTGAGTGTTAATATTGTTACATGAGGGTTTAGATTCTTGCTAGTAAAAGAAGAGAAACTAGGAAAAAGAGTATTGGACTTGAGGCTATTGTCAGTTAAGGCAGCTAATGCTTTACAATTAGTAGTAATAAACTGAAAAGCAATTCTTTATATGCTGAGGATTTTTGGTTTGGTTTTGGTTTGGTTTTTAAATTTCCTTTAATTGTTTTGAGCTGCTAACTCTTTAAAGGTAGAAAGTTTCATAGGCAGAGGGAGTGTTTCAAATGGTATGTTGATGCACTTTTTGACTAGCCATTAATTTTTATTTCAAGGTGATGCATGCCTGTAGAGAAACAGAACAGTAACAAGCTGTAATAAATCTCATTGCTTGAAGCGGATGAGAAATCCTTATTTGCACCAGTAACATGAGAATATCTTTGCGTAATTGTGCTTGTATATAAGTAAAATATATGTATATTTTTGTGTGAACTATAACAAGAATATTGTTGCACATGGTATTGCTGGTAGCTATGATAACGAACGTTGTGATGATTAGCTACCAGAATGTATAGAGCAAAATTTAAAAATAGGTATTTCAGTCTTCTAACAGTGTAGCATATAAATAAACTAGTTGGGTGTGTGATTGGCTATTGCTTCCACTTGCATTTCCACCAGTTATTTGTAAATGCCAAGGCACAGTTCTGGTCGTCTTTGGTCTCCTTCCCCCCCTCACTTGTTTTTGGTTTTGTTTGGTTTGGTTTTCTTTTTTGATGGTGCAGCACTGTGGAGAGAAAGATGAAGGAGGCTAAGAGTTGCAGATGTCCACGTAACCATAACATACTCTAATCTGGAAGCCACCAGAACAGTAATAATTTCCCTGCCAGGGCAGGCCATGTGCTTTGCCCTCCTTTGTGGCAGGCTACTAATGTGCATGCAATATAAACTTTACCTCTCCCAGAAGTTTTGAGTTTCTTGAACATGTAAAACAGACCACCTCTACCACAGAACATGTGGGTCCTTTTTCTGCCTTTGAAGTCCCTCCTAGAATAGGGCAGCTGCTCACAAACTTGCCTTTGGGACAGTTGGTGCTGATGACTCTCAGTCTGAACACCATCCAGCAAGAGCAGTTTGAGCTGGGGATGGAGGGCAGATGTGGGCTGGGCTGACCAGTATCCTTACACATGACCTGAGATTCATCCTTGCAATACAGAAGGAAATGCGTAGACTGAATGAGTCACTCAAAGTATAATCCTCATCTTGATTAATTTTGCATATTCCATTAAAATAACTTACTCTCTGGTCATCAGACTTCTCACTGGCCTCTACAGAAGCATATTCAAGTTGGTTTTTGAAATAAAGCTAAGAAAAGATGATTAGTGCAGGTCTCATAGGTTTTGGTTAGGGTTTTGTGTTTGAGCTTGTTTAGTTTTTTTTTGTTCCTGAGTCTTGCTTGTGTATTTGAACATTGACAGGTAAGTGGCTTTTAAGTAGATGTGTGGTCAGATATTACCCCCAGCTGCCTGTTGGGTGTAAAGTAGGAAGTAGTGACAAACTTGGGAACTATGAGACTGTAGGAGGTAGTATTTTGTAGTAGTTACATTTCTTACAAGACAGGCAACACAACAGGGATACTGTGATAGCTGGAAATGGAGCTTTCTCTCACTTCTCTTTAGTAGCTTTGACAAATAATGTTGTTGTAGTCTTGTTGTATCATAACAGTTGTGCTAGCAAGGATGGCTACAATAGAATGATTACTCCTTCCCTTTAACTTCTTTCCTATTCATGCAGCCTACACTGGCGTGACTATATGGGGAATATATTGAGAAATGCAAGATTAACTTTATGATTAGCAGTGACAAACAAGCCCAAAAAATCCTGTAAGTAAGCAGGAAGTCTTCCTTTTCTGTGAAGAACATGAGGCCTCATGTACCTAAGCGAAATGTTCTTGGGAAATTCAAAATTAGGAATGTCTATTGCTATATAATAGCTACTTTTTCTGAGTAAGGCCTGTTGCAAAACACAGTGGTTCTCCGAAAGAATTTGAGTAAGGAAAGGGTCGTGTTCTGTGTTAGCTGGAATGAGCATTTGTGCATGAAGCAGCTTGTCTGCAGACTCCGGAACAGCAGGATGATGAGGAAAAAAAAGGCAGTCATAGCTAATAGTTCTGGGGGAGGAGGAGGGTAGTATGTGGATATCACCCTGTGAGATGCTTGCTTGTGCATGGCCTTGAAAGGTAAAGGTGAAAATCTGATAAGGAGGAAGAGAAACTGGAAATGAAAACTGAAATTGCCTGCTCATGCAATTAAACCTCTTTTTACTCCTTTTCATTTCTACATCCTTAACTAAATCTATTCCTGTAGTAGGGCAGAACTAATGGTACAAAGTGATGTACAAACTGATAGCAGCTGGGGGCATGTTCTGCTGTCAGATGGAAGTGAGATGATTAGGGGGATATGTAAGCCACTTGGGGAGTGGCTAACTCCTAACACTATAGGAGTTAAGGGGAATTGGCTAAAGGTAGGATGCTAACATGTATGATAAAAGATGTTAAACCTTGTGTGGGTGTTCTCATTCAAATGTAAGGTAGTAGCTCTTTTTGCTGGAACCTCATTCTCCAAAAGATTAAAACCTGGTTTACCTTTGACTGAGTGGGCTTAAATCTGAGTGACTGCAAGCAGACAAGCTATTAGTTCTGAGTAACTAACTGTGGCCCCAGGCAAACCATCCTCCAAATGTATCTAACTCTGGATAAAGTAACTGTTTTGACTTTCAGTAGAGCAAAATAAATCAGAAATAACAGTTCTCGAAAGTTCTGACTTCAGCTAGTGTAGTAACTTGCCAGGCAGAGCCAAAATAAATGTGTATCTCAGTCCTAAAATACTGTTCTTCATATGCTCAAGTGATCACTGGCATAAAGACAGTATTGTATGAAGAATTAAATAGACAAGCTCTAAACAGCTATGGGAATTGTTATAATGACATCAGTGTTGAAGGAGCTTATTGCTAGAGTTGAATAGTGGGGCTTGCTTCCTGGGCACTAGCCTTTCTCCCTATTAATTCTTTGACATGGAAGGAATTAATAAGATTCTCACAGAATAGCTTCTTTATATGGCTTTAGGAACTTAATTAGTATAAAAGAAACAGTATTATCCCTAAAGCCACTTTGTTGCTGTTGGCTTCACAATAGAACTTCTACCTAAAATGTCCTTGTCTCCTGATTCACTTCCTGCTATAAACTTAGCGAAACAATAGACATTTCACAGAAGATACGTGTTCTGCTACTGAAAAGCAGGACTATGTCAGGCAGAGCTCATTTACCTGTAGTAAAGGAAGGGCTTTACTCTGTCATTGGAAACTAGTGCTGTTTCTGAAGTAGTTGCTGTTCAGTTTACTTAGGTGGAAAAAAGAGAGGGGAACTTGCATTCTTTTCCTGCTTTATTACATTCCTCAAGCCTTCAGGTCAGTGGGAAGGACTCGATGTCTGCTGGTGCATAGGTATCAGATGTAACAGCAGTGTCAGTAGCTGGTTATACTAACCTGTAGGGTTCCTTAACAAATACAAAAATTTAATTCCTGGATTCTGTGCATAAAATAAATTAAATGCATATAGCTGGGAAAAGCTGACTTTAGGCACAATGTTGTTAAAAATTTGATTATTAAGAGGAAATAGGAACATAAATTAGTATCTTGGAAAAGCTGATTGGTTTTACTGACTAGGAGGAAGTTGTTTGTGCTAGGCTGTATTTTTTCTGCTTTTCTAAAGTTGCCATCAAAGCTTAGAAGAGCTTGAAGAAACTCTCCATATTTGAAGCTAGCCCATAGCCAGAACTTTTCCAGCTGTTACAATGACACAGAGATGTCTTTACCAGTTACAAAGAGACTTCTGTGCCTTAATCTGAAATAATTTTGCATCTATTAAAAAGTACAAAAGGTATTCACATCTGAGATAATCATAGACAATTGTTGTGAAATAGAAAAGTTTAGACAGTATGGAATATTAATTAAAAACATTAATGTGAAAAACAAGGCAATAATAAAGGATATTTCAGACAAGAACATGTCTTATATGTAAAAAGTTCTTTCCCAGTGAAAGCTGGGCAGTGAAACAGTGAAATTGATTGATATGAGTGGAACAAAATTTAATATTCTGAACTTCTGTGTCATTGGTTGGCATATATAATCACTAATGGCATTAGATTTGCAATCAAAATATGGCTTAGGATTTAAATTTAGATTTAAATTGTAAATAAATAAATACATATTTAATACTCGAGCTGTCTTAGCTAGAGGGAAACGTTCTTAAGAGAATTCTGAAATGTTATTGGAAGAGTCAAGAAACACCAGTAAAATTTACACTGAGAGAAGCCAAGAGACAGAATTTCTTTACAGAGAAAGAATTAGTGCTTAAAAGGACACACGGAATTTCTGAGGACAGCAGAAGACACAAGAAGCATATTTAAAAATAGACTGCATTAAAATTAAAAATAACCGTGGGATACTTATCTAAAATGAGGATTTCTTCTCCCCCCCCCCCCCCCGAACTTCCTGTCCTGTTCCTGACAGCCTAAATCCAATGCTCACCAACAGGGCTGCAAGGATTGTAGCCTTTCTTCTAAGAAAAAAAGATTGAGATAATCTTTCCAAGGATTCTGAATCAGGGAATTCTGAATCTTCATTCACATCCTGTACATAACTGAAAATGTTCAGAGACCAACTGAATTTTAGTATTTAGGGAAAAAAATACTAAAATCAAAATGATGAATATTTTAAAGTATGATTCACTATATCAGTAAATTATTTAGGGCATCATAATAGTGTCATCACGCTGGGAGGTTGCATGACTGATGGTAGATATAATTAGACCATTAATGTCTTTTAATTCACTACAAGTAAAATTCAGCATTTGAATATGCATAAAAGTTACATTTTCAAATTGAAAAAAATAGCACTTTATTAACCACTGAGGTGTATTTCCCCAAGCAGTTTCCAAGTGCATATATGTATTTATTCAGTGCATGTGGCCTCAGGCCTGTATACATTTATACATACATTAAATTGTGTTACTGTAAGTAATGAAGTCAAATTACTGCACCAGGGTGTGTATTAACCCCAATGCAGACAAATTCTGCTTTCACGTATAGAGGTAATTCACAGAAAGAACAGTAGTGTTCATACAGAAAGTAGACCAAGATGAGTTTAATAATGTTGCTTCTGAATTCTTTCAAATGGTACACTTGGAAAAGGGGCAAAAACTTTGCAATTAAAAATGTGTTTTTAAAAATCTGATAACTGTTATTGTCTTATTGCCCTCCAAAGGCATCTAAGTATGAAAAGCATAGGAAACATCTTGCAACCAGAAGAGAATATTCAGCAGCTTGAAAACACTGTTCCCTAAAGTGGTGCCTCGAGAAATCTCCAAATATTGAATTTAAATGTTCATATAAATTGCTTTTGGTGAACTTTATTTTTTCCCCAATTAATACTCCTTCCCTTACCTTTTTATTTTTAATTTCTTTATAATATCTTTAATTTATAAAATCTTTATAATTTCATTGCATTTATAAAGATGCTTAAGTGAAAAGTTGGAAAACACAATTGTTATTTCTCAAGTTGCACTAAAATCTGAATCCAGTTGTTAGTACAAAATG